GTGTTATTGTCATGGAATTGGCTTCTAGAGTTGTTTTCCACTAGCCCGTTGAGTTCTCGATGAAGGCTCTTATTGTCTTGTTGACCTTGTATAGAGCCAAACATTCCAGTATCAATGTGTGTAGCTTTGTGTCATAACCTTTTTTTTTTAGTCAATCCAGGCTGTGTACAGATTGTCACAACTGGATATATATATATATATTTATATTTATATAGCGCCAACAATGGGTAAACTAACAAACATGTTATTGTAACCAGACAAGTTTGACGCACAGAAACAGAAGGGTTGAGGGTCCTACTCAATGAGCTTACATGCTAGAAGGAGTGAAGTAAAGTGACACAAAAGGTAAGGGAAGTATTAGGGAAATAGATTGGTACAATAGTATTCAATGTAGACTTAGTGTTTTTTTTGTTTTTTTTAAATGACAATTGCAGGAGATGAATCATTTGGGAGCTATTAAATGCTTAATTGATATGCTTTTGTGAAAAAGTGAATTTTTTAATGATTTTTATGAAGGAGTGGAGACTGGATGAGTATCTAATGGAAAAGGGAAGGGAGTTCTACAGGCACTGTGCAGTCCTAGAGAAGTCTTGAATGCAATCGTCACAGGTGGAAGTTGCACAGGACCATATACTGAAGCTTCAGGTAAGCCAAAAAAAAAATTCTCTATATCTTAGAATGACTAAATCTGTCATTCTAAAATCCAAAAATACTTTTCGTTTTAATTAGGTTCCTGTCTAATTAGGGATAGGAAGGACATATATGATCCAGATCACTCGCTCATTAAACACTAACATAAAAGCTCACAAAATGTACTAGCATTTTTAAAAACACCTGACCTACACAAAAATAATCGGGGTTTAGTTACACTGTATGCTCATACATTGCACAAGCCTTTCACATACTGTACCCCATTCTTGGCAGGTCCTACTCTAGCAACCTAATTCCTGCTCTTATGAGATTAACCCACTTACTTTGGAAATCCTTCCTCCAGGGGCTAGGGATATTGGCATCACTCTATTGCAGCACACCAGGAATACTCTTTATATTCAGTCTGAGTAGGGGAAATAAAGGGGAATTGGGGGCACACCCAGAACATTAATTGGGGTACTATGATGTAGTGGTGGGCTTAACACAATATGGCCATATGGTAGAACTAAATCCCCATATTTTTTTGCTGAGATAAGTGATTTTAAGAAATTTTGTAAAATATAAAATTATATTTTATTGTGAGCGCTGCTCTTTAATCGTATTTTAAGTATTTTGAGAGGACTATCTCATTTGTGATAAATCTGGCAATAGCTGGGTCTTGCTGCGTGGGGGGTGGTGGACTGCCCTTCCATGTACATCGGTCAATGTTAAGTGTATTTATGACAGTGACATAGAGGGTGGGGAAACCATCATTTGGTTAAACTAATTTTACCCTAATTTAATTTAATTTTTTTGAAAGTCCCCTTGTGCCGTTCCTCCACTCAGTGTTAAACCATTTTCAGCAGTTTCACATTGAATAATGGTCCCCACAACACATCCCCTACTGGAGGTGTGGCTAAGGTAGAGATTATCCACTTCCTTTTAGCCATACCAATTCATACCAACAATGGGCACGGTTGAAAAAGGACAACTGACACTCTCAACCAATCACAGTCGCCCACTTCTAGTGGGTGGACTTCTGGGGATTCTCATTTAGCATTTAACAACCAAAAATAGTTTAATACTTAACAGAAGCATGGCGCCAGGAGACTCCGGACATTATAACCATTTTAGTAAGGCAGGTTAAACTTTTTTGTTGAAATTCTAAATGATATTTACACTCCAAAGTAGCTATTAATAGTTGTGCTTTAAATATTCTTTTAAATTACTTGCTAGATGTACATTTACACCAAACAGGTGGTAAACTGCAGTATTTAACAGCCTGGCTTATCCCACCTCTCTCAATCAGGTGGGTTACTTTGCCTGTCTCACACATAATTTGGCAGTCATCCCTGAAAGATGTCAGCAAGAAATTTATACAAATGTTTGATAAGGAAAAACAAATCGACATTTTGGCCACAGTAATTTGGCTCATACTGGTTTAGGAGTTATCATACCCGTAGATCTTAGATCACTGCGTCTGGAGAACGTAATAAAAATACCTTTAAACAAGACAAAATTAATTTTAAAAAAAAGAGTGAGAAATTGTACAGAATAGTAGAAATGTCTTCTCACTTCCAACATAATCCAATTTTAACTAGTTAACATTAAACAGACAGCTGAATTTGCCCAAACTGCTACAAAACAGTCATTTTTCATTAATTTGATTCAAACATCACATTTTTGCCATTCTCCACAAATGTATCTTTCTGTTTTGTTGCTGTCAAAATAAATACAAGTAGATACTTTAGAGATCACAATATCATAAAAGTGAAGCAGGGGTGATACCTTTAACTGATGAGATATTTGCGTGTGTGTGTGATTTGGTAAGAAATGTGTAAGTATACATCAATATTTATAATAAAAGGGTCTGTGGGATGGAAATCTAATGGCAATGCTGTTTATGCTCATTTGCAATTTTAAAGGCTTCTGTTTCTGAGGTTCATTATTATTACTATTGTTATTATTACTGGCATTTATTTAATGCCAACAAATTCTGTAGCGCTTTACAATATTATAGGAGGGGGAGGTTTGACGATAAATGAGACAATTACAAAAACTTACAGGAACAATAAGATGAAGAGGACCCTGCTCAAACGGGCTTACATTATAAGCAGATAAGCCCCTCCAATATATTTTGGAATTTACCAAAACAGAGATAAGGTTTATTTCTTGCTGCCCCTTTATTAATGATTCATTGTGATTAATATTTCCATCTGTGGACTAACCACCTTCAGAAAAGCCCCAGTAAGAAAAAAACTAATTTCTGTGCCTGGTGTTTCCTGGGCCTTTAGCTAATATGAACTGAGCGGCCAACTGTGAGGTATAGAGTGTTGGGCTGTGTATGAGTGTGTGCGTATGAGTGTATGAGTTTCTGTATTGTGATGTGTGGACTGTTGGGCTGTCTATGAGTGTGTGAGTGTATGAGTTTGTGTATTGTTGGGCTGTGTATGAGTGTATGTATTGTGATGCATGGACTGTTGGGCTGTGTATGAGTGTATGTACTGTGATGCATGGACTGTTGGGCTGTGTATGAGTGTATGTATTGTGATGCATGGACTGTTGGGCTGTGTATGAGTGTATGTATTGTGATGCATGGACTGTTGGGCTGTGTATGAGTGTATGTATTGTGATGCATGGACTGTTGGGCTGTGTATGAGTGTATGAGTGTATGTATTGTGATGTATGGACTGTTGGGCTGTGTATGAGTTTGTGAGTGTATGAGTTTGTGTATTGGGATGTATGGGCAGTTGGGCGGTTGGGCTGTGTATGAGTGTATGTATTGTGATGTATAGGTGGTTGGGCTGTGTATGTGTGAGTGTATGAGTGTATGTATTGTGATGTATGGGCTGTTTGGCTGTTGTTGGCTGTGAAAGATGCACTTCCTTTCTTTGGGTTCCCCACTTCTTTTTCCTGTTGGCAGTTGGTGTAATGTTCGAGGGATTTGAAATGGCGGCTGCAGAAACCCTGTGTAACAAGGCTGCAATATGAAGATGTTGTTATATATGTATTAATAAATTGAGTACTTTGATATACAGGAATTATTGACTGGTTTGAACAAAACATCACGCCAACAAGCCTCTAGCCCTGGTCTTTCTGGGAGGTGTATTCACTGCTCACAGATAGGAGACCCTTTCACATGATACACATTGATACATGGAGCACATGAACGCTTCAGATGCACTCTTACACTCTACACACATACTTCCATGACCCTGGCCGTCTGATTAGTGAGGTGGAAAATCTTTATACACTCATCCTAGAGCTGGCAGACAGCAAAGGTTACCATGCAATTGTCTATTTATTTTTAATCCACATGCACATGTGTGTTTTGAATTTTGTGAATCATGTTTATTTTTGCACACCTTTATGTGGGTGCTCTATTTTGAACACTGAAAAGGACATGTGCCAAGTCCAAAGTAACCTGATATTGGGTCCTTGGCCCTCTTGCCTGGATGTGGTTTTGATTATTTGTCCACAACCTCAACTTGAAGACCTTCAGAGCCTTCCATCTACAGCCCTTCCATCTCCAGAAGAAGAGCCATGTTTCGGCATAGTTTATTGAAAGCAGTAGGCACTAGTTATGTATCTGAACCTCTTGCCAGGCCGTACAAGATTTTTGACTACACAGGCATTTTTGGGGGGAGGGCAGAAAAATGCATCTTCACCATTCCTTAATCCCCCTCTTGAATTTCTTACACCCTTTTGTGTTTCTTATCCTCTCTTTTAAATGTCTTTTGTCTTACACTCTCCTTTAGTATATCCTATTCCCATTTTTTTCCCTTTGTATGTCTCTTACACCACCTGTGCGTCTCTTACTACCCAGCCCCTTTGTGTGTCTCTATTCAATCCAGCAGCTCTGTGTGTCTCCCCTTTCCCAGCCTTTCTGTGTGTCTCTTTCCCTCCCCCAGACCCTTTGTGTATCTTTCTCTCTTTCCCTATCCCATCTGTGTGCCTCTTCCCCCAGTCCCTTTTGTGTATTTCTTTCTCACCTTCCCCACCCCCTCTATGTCTCTTTATCCCCTCAACCCCTTTTATGTATCTTTTTTTTTCTCCTTACTTATCCCCTCTATGTCTCTATATACTTTTAGCCCCTCTGTTGGTCACTTCCCCCAGCACTCTGTATCTTTCTTCCCACAGCTCATCTGTGTCTCTTTGTCCCCCCCTACCCCCTGTCTGTCTCTTTTGCCACTTCTCCAAGCCCTTCTGTGTCTTTCTCTCTACAGCCCCATTAGTGTCTCTATCTCCCCTTCCCAGCCCCCTGTCTGTCTCATTCCCTCAGCATCTTGTCTCTTTCTCCCTGAACCTCTCGATGTCTCTTTGTGTCCCCCCCGAGCCCTCAATGTGTCTCATTCCCCAAGCCCCAATGTATCTCATTCCCCCAGCCCCCAATGTGTCTCATTCCCTAAGCCATCCCAATGTGTCTCATTCCCCCAGTTCCCCAGTCCCCCAAAGTGTTTCATATGTTCTGCACCCCCATGTGTCTCCTCACCTCCCTCCCTTGTAGTGTGGCTGAGCCATGGGCCAGGGAAGATGAGCTTCAGGAACCTCTCCCCGGTTGAACAGGAAGCAGTTCTGCACTGCCTACATGCACTTCCTGTTAGACCGAGGTAAAGGATACTGAAGCATGGCTCGGCCATCGTACACAGGAGGGACTGGCTGGAGGGGAACACTGTACACTGAGCTCCCCTCCTGCCATTCAGCAGGATCCTGCATTCCAAAGGACGGTGCACCCTAAGGCAGCTGCCTATGCCGCCTTATGGTGGTGCTGGTCCTGGTCGTAGGGGAGAGGACTAGTAAAAGCCTTGAACACTCAAGAAATGGAGATCCCAAAGATTTGACTTGGCTGTACATAGTGGCTCATACTCTTGAGTTTGGCATACTCACTATCACAGTGTTGAAAAGATGAAGTTGGAAACTGCTTAGATGCCATTTATCGAAGGCTTAAAAAAAGCTGCTGGTGGCTGGTTAATTTAGATTCGAGCCTCTAATTCCAATTAAAACTAAAGTTTAAAATAGCAGCTAGCTAGCTAAAACAGACTAAATAAATATCAGCAGGAACTGTAGAGTAAATGCCTGATTTTCATGGCATTCTGGGTGTGAAATGGCTAAACACATTACATCGGTATGCAAATACACTGAGCTGAGTAAATTGTAATAAAGTTATAATAACAAGATAAATAATATATAAGCCCATCATTCCAAGCATGACTACAATATTATATGATATAAAATACTTATAATTTCAGCAAATAAAGACACTCTTCTATTCAATAACAATTGTTGCATGAAGACAAAATGCGTTGACAGCTTAAATACTGTAATTCCCGCCTTGTCCTCAGTGATCATATTTACCTTTGTTCTCCGATGTCCCACCTGGAATCTGTTGAAGCCACTCGTCCAACTTGGGAGTCACAGCCCCGAGTGCTCCTATCACAACTGGGACTTCTACTGCCTTAACTTTCCACATCCTTTCTAGTTCTTCTTTCAGCCCTTGGTATTTCTCCACCTTCTCATGTTCCTTCTTCCTGATGTTATAGTCACTGGGTATTGCCACATCCACCACGACTGCAGTCTTCCATTCCTTGTCTACCACCACAATATCAGGTTGGTTGGACACTATTTGTATAATATATAAATATAAGTTTTTTTTTTTTATTGATCCTGTTTTTTTTACCTCTGTTGGTTACCAACTTCTTTTTTTTTTACCAACTTTTTATGTGTAAAAATAAAAATGAATTGCTGTTTCCTAGGCTTCAAATATCTTTTTCTTCCCCATCAATCATCTCTTTACTTGATACCATGAGCAGAACTCTGAATACTGAATGTTCAGCCATCGCATTAGCCGTATACGACCATACTCCAACTGGTCCAAATTTGGTGATTACATTTTGGCTGAATCTGAATACACAAGTCTCCTCAATACATGGTGGAGAACTGACAAAGAATTTCACATTTTAGAACAAGATAGCTGAAATTAAAAGCTTCTCCCATACAGCTATATTCCCAGTTTGTCAATTTTAACCTAAACTTTGTCACTTCTCCTAAATCCTTATTTTAGTGACTAAACCCATATTACTGGTATCTTTGCATAACATGTGTATATGGCATAATAAAGTTACAGTTATTTTAATAAACTACGTTATTCACCTCACTTTGTTAAACAGCTGTCTTTTTCATTAGAATAATAAAAGGAAAAAACAAATAAATAAAATGCAATAAAAATAAACAGAAGTAAATTCTAGAGTCAAATAAGAATTGTTTTGTGCCATTTCCCTAATGGCAGTACCTTTACAACATCCAGTCCATACCTTTATATAAAGTCACAGCTCTCAGTGAACCCATAACTGGCCAACTTTGTCACGTCTTTATACAGTAGTTGCACATAGCATTTTAGAACAATCTTGAGTTAAAGCAAACAAACTATTGCAGCAGAAAGCTAAAACTACCATTTAAAACTGAGTACTTCATTTGTAGCATTCTTTATTGGTTTAGTATTTCTTCATATAAGTCAACTTTTCCTAGTAAAAGAAACAAAGACCTGTATGTACCAATCATGGGTACTTTGAGTCCTAGAGTTCGTTACGGTTAAGAGAAAATATAAGTTGGTTCCATAAAGTGCTTTGTTACCGTATAAAATAAATATAAGCTGATAGAATGCCATTGAAACGAGCCTTGTTTCACATTGATATTTTCTTTTCCACATATTGCATTTAATAGTAGTGTTTCGATAACAATTCCAGCACCAAGTACCAAACGGAATTCCAGCGGTGGGAGGGTAAACATGTAAAGTAGCAAAATCATGTAAAGCCATCTAATAGTCCACCAAATCACAAAATTATTATATTAATCTATCTATCTATCCATCCATCCATCCATCCACCCATCTATCTATCTAGAAACATAGAATGCAACGGCAGATAAGAACCATTCGGCCCATCTAGTCTGGCAAATTTTCTAAATACTTTCATTAGTCCCTGGCCTTATCTTATGGTTAGGATAAACTCCTTTACTGTGTTAACCTCTACCACTTCAGCTGGAAGGCTATTCCATGCATCCACTACCCTCTCAGTAAAGTAGTAGTTTTTCTTCTTTTAAATATAGTCTCCCCCTTTACTGTGTTGATTCCCTTTATATATTTAAATGTTTCTATCATATCCCCCCGTCTCGTCTTTCCTCCAAGCTATACATGTTAAGGTCCTTTAACCTTTCCTGGTAAGTTTTATCCCGCAATCCATGAACCAGTTTAGTAGCCCTTCTCTGAACCCTCTCTAAGGTATCAATATCCTTCTGAAGATACGGTCTCCAGTACTGTGTACAATACTCCAAGTGAGGTCTCACCAGTGTTCTGTACAATGGCATGAGCACTTCCCTCTTTCTACTGCTAATACCTCTCCCTATACAACCAAGCATTCTGCTAGCATTTCCTGCTGCTCTATCAATCAATCTATCTATCTATCTATCTATCTATCTATCTATCTATCTATCTATCTATCTATCTATCTATATCTCTATATGTCTGTCTGTCTATCTATTTATCTGTCTGTCTATCTTTCTGTCTCTTAGACATTGACACATTTTGATTGTGCATTACATGATTTTATCGAATAACAGACTGTTGAATACATTATAAATTAAAGTTTGCAGAGCTCCAGAGCTGCCTCCAGAGCTGGGGCTCATTTATTCATCTCTGGTGATTTATTAATGTATTCACTCTGCCTCCGGTAAGACCTGCTCTTCATGTCATCAGATCTCTACATACTCTATCGGCACACATTTACAGGTGTGGCGGCAGGCACTCCTTGCATTGATACAAGATTACAGCCACCTCCATAAAACCATACTTTATTTATGGCAAGAATACCTTGCTTTTTATTGCATATCCACTTCATAAAGGCTGGTCAGTGGTTACCCCCTAAGTGTGTTCTGAAAGGGGAGGGCATGTAAAGGCAGCAGACAAGAGAACTACAGGCTTTGCAATCTTTTTTTAGATGTACCCACAATGGCAAAATGCAAAAATTACATTCATGCATGCTTTCATTGGGGGATTAAAAAAAAATATTTAGACAGTGAGTGTGCCTTTAAATTCCTAAAAACCTTATTGACTGAGTAGAATCTGCATTGTGGTAGTAGAAGGATGATTGTGGACATAAGTGACTTTTTAAAAAGAAACATGTAAAACCGACAAATAAATGCTTGGAGCATCTCTCGTTTGGTTAGAATTAGACCCAAGCCATTCTTTCCGACCATGTACTTTATTATAAATTATCTAGGAAAATCTATTAAGCATCCATGTGGCAAGCAGAGGTGGAGCAGAGCATTCTGTGGAGAGAATTTCTGGCAAGATTCTGTTCTGGAACACAATCCCAGAAAGTATTTGTTAAGCCTAGGCAGGAAGGATCTTATAATGAGACGCACTGAACTGGTGACCGCAACAGGCTGGAGGCCGAATGCATATTTTACTCCAGTCTGAGGACTCCTGACCTTCTAGTGATCTCACGAAAGGCTTTGTTATTGTCTCAATCAGTGATACAATATTCTGGTGTTTCCTTTACTGAAATAGTAAAATGTAAAATAACATGCTTGTATCAGACCTTCATAAAGAAAATCAATCCTAAAATACCATAAAAGAGAAAACTGTGTACAATATCTCCACTGAATGCAAGAAAAAGACAACCTACTAAATGATGTACCCCTGAACACCAATATCCACAAAAAAAAACTTACAGGGTGTAGGATTTCAATGAAGTGACACCTTATATGGTGAGAAGATATATAACATGGAATACAACCTTCAATAATAGAGGCAATCTAAGGTGCTAGAGCCAGGAGATGTGTCAGCTTATCGCCCCTGAAAGCACTCACAAGATCTTCAGTAAAATTGGCATATCTCCACTTCTAGTGGATCAGAGCTAGAGTTTGGGGCTGGAAATGATCCCAGAGATGAATGAGAATGTCCCAAAGACAAAATCAAAATAAAATATATGTGAAACAAAAAAAACAAATAAAAAGTCCCAAAGGTGATAGGTAGTTTGAATCCAATGCGTTTTGTCCTCTGGACTTCTTCAGGGATATCAGACTACTCTTGTATGACCTCCCAATATATATGGTGATGTTGATTGAAGAATTCTGTTCATCTGTGTTCCTCATGGTGTGCGTTCCACCGAGGGGCATTTGCCGACTTCTGGGTTTGTTGCCTTGTCCATTACATCATCTTTGTGCACATATGCATACCACGTTGGAATGCAACTTACTTTTACTGGACACAACACAACAATCATGGACTCGGCAACAAAGCAGGGTGCTAATGCGAATGTCCATACGTAATATAGATCGTCATCATGACATTTAAACTACCCAATAATATGTACATTGAGGAAAAGGAATTAAAGGAAGACCAAAAGAGAAGAAATTGAAAAGAATGAAATAAAATTAAAAAAAAATGAATAGAAAATGAAAAATTTGGAAAAATTTGAAAAATATATATAACAAAATAAAAAAATAGAACAAATTAACATAAAGTAAAATTGAAAGAGGAACTAGGGTAGAAATGTCATAGTGATGGTTTCTGTACATGGCTGGTTCCTAAAATACTATGGCTATTCAATGAATCGCCTCCTAATTTACGGTGGGAATAGGCCTCACTATTTGGTGGAACTCCGATGCGATGTGTGCTGCTGCATCTTGGCAATGGTGGGAAGAAAAGGAAGGGACATATACTTACCTGAAGTTCTCTTTCCTCAGTGCTGCCATCTTTCATTTTACCAGCCTTTCATGTGGCTAGAAAAACTATGGGAGATCCCAAGAGACCACATGATAGATACAGTATATAGGTATAGATCTTGTACTTCAGAGGATGCCTGCTCTTCCCACTGACTATTACAAGTGAAGGCTGATGGGAAATTGAAAAGCACTGGAAGAATTAGTTCATAAAAGCTCTTGCTGCCGTTTTTCATATTTTGCCATTAATCATCACTCACTTAAAAAAAAAATACACTTATAAAGAAACTTTCTTCTTTCTTTATAAAGCAAAGAGTTAAATTTGACTATGCTTGGCTAGTTTGGCAATTGTGTTGGAAAAATATGTGCACATGGTCATTTACAAGCAAATAAGTAAAAGGAAACTCCATGTTTTTCACAACGTCACCTGTTTATGAATAGCTTGGTTTAAAGGTACGCAACACTGCCGAATATTAAAAAATAAAAAACGTATTGTTTAGTAGTATATCCTGAATGAAAACATGGACGCATTTAAATATGCATTTTTTTTATTGGGAGTATTTATAAAAACAGATTGCAAAAGCTTTTGTCTGAAACCTTTGCAGGCCCTCCACTTCTAACTTCACCCATATTTTTGGTGGCTGTCCAATCACAGACTTTCCAATGTTGCTTAATGATAAGTCTTTGCAAGGCAGGTGCTCTGGGTAATTGCGGCTTCTTGAGTTTATCTCCACTGAGCTAAGTAAACCAGGAACTAACAGGTCCGGTTGTCTGACAGCCGTGGGGTGGAACAAGGTAAGTGTCTGAAAGTGATGATTTCTTTGAGTCTCCTGCCACTCATGGATTGAGGCTGGGGGGTGGGTGACATTAGATCCCCCTTTGGATATCATAAAAATAATAGCCCCCACATACCATCCATGGGTGGATTGGGGACAAACTTGGTCCCTTCCATTTAATAAGTAGCACCCATCCACTTATCATGGATGGGGAAGAGGGGACATTGTGGGTTCCCTTTTTTATATTTAAAAGCCCCCACCTTCTGACCATAGGTGGGGGGCAGAGGGTTAGACAGTAATTTACCCCTATTATTTCATATACTATCCATTATTTTACAGGCCCCATCCACCTGGGATGAGGCCATTCAAGCAACTGGACATTCATTTGGACTCTTGTGAAGAACTCTTAAAGTGAATTTTAAAAGAAAGGCTAAAGTAGCTGAACTGTAAAGTTTCCGGTTTGGCTATTTTGGCTTTAAAAATAAATTCACTTTGACTTCTAAGCACAGAGGCCCTCATGCCAAAGCCGTGTTACCTTTTGTATTCACCATTAATAGCTTTATTTACTAAAAAGTAACAACAAATTGGCAAAATGTAGGCAGAAATATGGAAAAGTTCTCTAGCCCAGCTTTAGTCACATCCTTTATCCAGAATTTCAGTTTGCTATAGTTCATTGTTTAGTGAATAAGTACCTGACTTTATTTAGATTTCCAGAATCAAATCTGTATGCAAACAACTATTACAAACATACATTATGTTCCCTTTTATTTCATTTGTTTAACGTTTGTTTCAGGCTTTTTTTTATTATGTTATATTTTATTTTATTATGTTCACAGCACGTGTTTGGCAAAATAAATTATGTTTAGACATTGCAAACAAAGAGCTTTGACTTAATGGCTTAATATATTCCCATTCCCAGAACAAATTTGTTGCATTCCACCTTTTAACATGCACTGGGGTGGAGTGTGTCTTTTTATAATCCCTTCAAGACTGTAAGTTTCAAAATGAGAGAAGTGTTACAATATCTGTGAAACAATGAGACTTTGATGAGACAGAGCCAAGATGGTGGTCCACACTTTACAGTTATAAACAAAGTAAATTCAGGGAAGTCTGCAATGTATGAGTTCTGTTCCACTTAGCAGAACTGATTAAATGCAATATGTGAAAGCTACATACAATTAATTCATGACTTGCTTCATATTACAAACTTCTGTACTAAAAGCACTTTTAGCTGGATCAGTAGACAACATGAAACATTTTAATTTACTCATCTATGTTTCTTGATTGTAAAAATGCCCATTTGTCAACTTAAATATTACACCTAGTCAGAACAGGATTAGCCATAAGACAAGAATAGGCAACCACCTTGGGCACAGGGGTTAAACAAGGGCCTGGAACCATGATTTTGGATGGCCCTATTTAACCACCCCTATGTGAAAAACGAAGAGGGTACCCCAAACTGATAGCCTGCCTAGGACACTGTAGGATCTTGCTCTCCCCCTGGGGGTGAACCGTTGTAAGGTTCCAGTGTATACTATGTGTATTCTAAATACCAATGCATGCCATAGGAAATATTTGACCCTTTGAGTGCCATAGCAGATACCATGAAATGGGCTGCCTCCTTCGGAAAGTATTGTATAAATATACGTGGAATCCATGAAACCAAGCATGAATCAACAAAACAAAGAGACATTCACACAAACACCTACACACAAACACCTTCACAAGGACACCTACACATTTATACTCGTAGTTTCTACTTACTCAAGCATGTTCTTTGCTGCCTAAGATTAATA